TTTTGTGTTAACCCTATGGTATGTTTTGTGTTCACGCTATGGTACATTTTGTGTTAAGTCTATAGTACGTTTCGTGTTCACCCTATGGTACGTTCTGTGTTCACCCTGTGGTAGGTTTTGCGTTCACCCTATGGTACGTTTTATGTTAACCCTTTGGTATGTTTTGTGTTAACCCTACGTTATGTTTTATGTTCACCCTATGGTACGTTTTGTGTTAACCCTATGGTACGTTTTGTGTACACCCTATGGTACGTTTTGTGTTAACCCTATGGTACGTTTTGTGTTAACCCTATGGTACGTTTTGTGCTACCCCAATAGTACGTTTTATGTTTACCCCCTTGCACGTTTTATGTTTACCCTCTGGTACGTTTTGTGCTAACCATATGGTACGTTTTGTGTTCACCCTATGGTCATTTTGTGTGCACCCAATAGTACGTTTTGTGTTTACTCTATGGTATATTTTGTGTTAACCATATGGTACGTTTTGTGTTAACCCTATGGTATGTTTTGTGTTAACCCTACGGTACGTTTTATGTTCACCCTATGGTACGTTTTGTGTTAACCCTATGGTAGGTTTTGTGTTCACCCTATGGTACGTTTTATGTTTACACTACAGGCTAAAATAATTATTAATTGTCGTCAGTCAGGTTACACTAGTGGTGATGTATCCGACAGACACACTACAGGCCATCATAATGATTTATTGTCGTCAGTCAGGTTAGATTTATCCGACAGTCACACTACAGGCTAGTATAATGATGTTTTGTCGTCAGTTAGGTTACAATAGTGTAGATGTATCCGACAGACACACTACAGGCTATAATAATGATTTATTGTCGTCAGTCAGGTTACACTAGTGTGGATGTATCCGACAGACACACTATAGGCTATTATAATGATTTATTGTCGTCAGCCCATACCCGATGGAATACAGATTGTAATATGTTAAAATGACCGATTGAATAGATATTGAATTTACATTACATAATGAAGAACGTGTTACCTTATACGAATTAAATGTGGAGGATATTAGAGTCGACTATGAATTATGTTTACCCAATGGTATGTTTTGTGATTACCCTATGGCATATTATGTGTTTACCCTAAGGTTATGTTTTATGTTTACCCTAGGACATATTTTGTGTGTACCATCTGGTATGTTTTATGTTTACCCTAAGACATATTTTGTGTGTACCATCTGGTATGTTTTATGTTTACCCTTAGGTACCTTTTATGTTTACCCTATGTTACGTTTTGTGGGTACCCTTTGGTATGTTTTGTGTTAACCCTACGGTACGTTTCATGTTCACCCTATGGTTTGTTTTGTGTTAACCCTATGGTACGTTTTGTGTTCACCCTATGATACGTTTTGTGTTTACCCTATGGTACGTTTTGTTTTTACCCTATGGTACGTTTTGTGTTTACCCTATGGTACGTTTTGTGTTAACCCTATGGTATGTTTTGTGTTCACGCTATGGTACGTTTTGTGTTCACCCTATGGTACGTTTTGTGTTACCTCTATGGTACGTTTTGTGTACACCCTATGGTACGTTTTATGTTTACCCTTTGGTATGTTTTGTGTTAACCCTACGGTACGTTTTATGTTCACCCTATGGTACGTTTTGTGTTAACTCTATGGTACGTTTTGTGTATACCCTATGGTACGTTTTGTGTTCACCCTATGGTACGTTTTGTGTTCACCGTATGGTACGTTTTGTGTTTACTCTATGGTACGTTTTGTGTTCACCCTATGGTATGTTTTGTGTTCACGCTATGGTACGTTTTGTGTTCACCGTATGGTACGTTTTGTGTTAACCCTATGGTACGTTTTGTGTTCACCCTATGGTATGTTTTGTGTTCACCCTATGGTACGTTCTGTGTTCACCCTATGGTATGTTTTGTGTTAACCCTACGGTACGTTTTATGTTCACCCTATGGTACGTTTTGTGTTAACCCTATGGTACGTTTTGTGTTTACCCTACGGTACGTTTTGTGTTTACCCTATGGTACGTTTTGTGTTAACCCTATGGTACGTTCTATGTTAACCCTATAGTACGTTTTATGTTTACACTCTGGTACGTTTTGTGTTCACCCTATGGTACGTTTTGTGTTCACCCTATGGTACGTTTTGTGTTAACCCTATGGTACGTTTTGTGTTCACCCTATGGTACTTTTTGTGTTTATTCTATGGTAGATTTTGTGTTCACCCTATGGTACGTTTTGTGTTAACCCTATGATATGTTTTGTGTTCACCCTATGGTACGTGTTGTGTTTACCCTATGGTAGGTTTTGTGTTAACCCTATGGTAGGTTTTGTTTTAACCCTATGGTACGTTTTGTGTTTACCCTATGATATGTTTTGTGTTCACCCTATGGTACGTTTTGTGTTCACCCTATGGTACGTGTTGAGTTTACCCTATGGTAGGTTTTGTGTTAACCCTATGGTAGGTTTTGTGTTAACCCTATGGTAAGTTTTGTGTTCACCCTATGGTACGTTTCAAAATATTTTACTTTTCCGTTAAATTTCTGCCAACTGAATTGATGCTAACATAATTCTTGTTTTTATAGGTTCGCATTGAGGCAACTAGAATATCTGCAGATGGACTTGGGGATATTGCTATTGATACAGTAGTCCTTAAGAATATCGCCTGTTCTTAATACTGACGACGATGACTCTTCCTTTTTATACTATATGTTCAGACAAAAATGTGTTTATTAATAATGTACTCAGACTTATGGATATTAAACAGTAATCATTATTATAAAGTATATTCATCATAATCATGTATGCTTTCTGATAAACAAAAGTAAGCCTTGAGCCTACCAGACAAAAACAGATGTTCTATATCGTTCATTGCAGGATGAATCAATGGAATCAATTATATTAAATATAGATGTCGATTCCAAAAAGTGTCAACATCTGTGTACCAGGACTTGTTTTTTGATGTACATGCATACCACAATATAGCTGTTGATTTCTGTGACAGCAAGTTTGCATTTTCCTTATTAAATATATTACTGCAATTGAATTGTTCTTTATATTATTACTTTGATACAAACAAAAATATCACATATGTATGTGATATGGTGCAGTATCTGTATGTGACATGGTACAGTTTATGTATGTGACATGGCACAGTATATGTATGTGACATAGTAGAGTATATATATGGTACAAGGTACATTATATGGATGGTACATGGTACATTATATGCATGGTACATGGTACATGGTACAGTATATGTATGTGACATAGTAGAGTATATATATGGTACAAGGTACATTATATGTATGGTACATGGTACATTATATGCATGGTACATGGTACATGGTACAGTATATGTATGTGACATGATAGAGTATATATATGTGACATGGTACT